AAGTATATGTTAATGTAACAAGACCACCTGTAAGTGATCTTTCGCCAAAACAAAAGGGGTGAAATTAAAAATAAAAAATTTATTATTCCCCGATAAAAGATCGCGTAGGTCTTTCTTTCAATACAATCCCAATATTCTTTGGGAAACTCTTTTTACTTTAAATAAACAATTGATCAAACATAATTTATTATGGAACTCTGAGATACCTAACTCTGGAACACTAAACTGAATCTTGATCTCTCCTTCAGGCTCAATGGGAAGCATTAAACATGATATAATACGTGCCTCTTCTTCTTCATAATTGACTTTTGAATTTTCAAGCTCTTTTGGGATATCAATATCTTTTAAACTGAAATTTACCTCTTTATCCTCTTCTACCTCCAATTGTAATCTACTCTATTGATCTTGTAACATTTGTTATACTTGTTAAGACCTTCCATAAGGTTTTGTTTGGCTTTTTCAAGTTCTTGGCATAATCGCTTGAATATTTGATTTATAAGACCCACAAATTATCATTAGTAGTTTGTAAAAGTATCGTAATGGTTGGATATTCTTTACTTTGATACCACTTGATGCATGAAAAAAAATAAACAAAAAAATACATATAAAAAGTTGAGAGAGTATATCATATCTCTAGGTCTCCAAGGGAGTCCATCCCAAAGCTTTCTCAAATATCTTAGTTCCATAGGAAGGATGTACTCTCTTTTTTAAATACAACTAAAAAAGATATAATAAAAATATAATTAAAAAATCCCACAATGGAATCTCTCTCCCACATTTCACTCTTTATCTCTTAGTTTCATATAATTCTCTCACTCTCTCTCCCTCAAATCTTTCTTTAATGAAAGTTCCCATAAACTAAAAGTACTTATCTCTTAAAATTTTAAGATATCCTAACCAACCCAACCATATTAATCACTAGAATTAATAATTAAAAATAAATTTCTCATTCTATCCCTAAAATCTCTTATAAATGAAATCTCTACAACCATAAAAAACAAAAATAACCAACCGAACCATGATAATCATTGTAATTAATACTTAAAAATAAAATTCTCAATCTATCCTTGAAATCTCTATAATAATATATGAAATCGCTACCACCATAAAAAACAAAATAACCCTAAATCTAAAAATAGAAAAAACAAAAAAAAAACAAACCATTGTATCACCTCTTTCTTCACTCCCAATCCTGTAATGCCTCTCTCTCTTTCAAACTTCTTTCTTTTGTCCTTCTTCTGCCAAATTTGGTGGAGCTCCACCAATCATTGCTGAAAATTGCGGACTTTTCCCCAAACACATACAATGAGGAGCTTCTATCACACACTTTTGCTCTAAATTCCCTCTCCCTCTCTCTCTTCCCTCACAAACCCATAACCACTCTCTCTAAAACTTCATTCATATCCTTTGAACCCTTAACCTAAAAAAATCCATTTTTTCTCACGCTCTGGAACAGTGCCTCAAAGCTTCAAAACCTCACCAAAATCGTCAACCTCAACCTCTCACATAACTACCTAGTTAATCCATTTCTAGCCATGAAATTTAAAGAGGTCGAATATCTGAAACTCTGGCTTAACCTCTTCCATCTTGAAAAAAATCTTTATTGGGTCACAAATCTCCAATTATTTATGCTCTGGGTCTTACCAGATATGGTATAGGGATGAAATTAAGGAATTGAAGCCAAAAAGAGACTCATTTCTACTATTCTATCGATCTTCCAGACAATGAAATCATTTCTAATCTGGCTAATGTACGCAATAGAACACAATTTTGGTGGGTTTTGTAAAGAGTTACAGGCTTCTCTGAAGAGATTATGTATTTATTTTTCGTATGAATGTACAGACTTGTCTATTATAGACAAATTACAAATGAAAAATACAAAAATAAATCACAGATTCTTATACTATACCTAGGCTTACCATAAATATAAGATTTTATATCTACCATTTCCAAATATACATATTAAAATATACATCTTAGCTGAAGTTTGACCGGATATAATATATATTTTCCTTTCACACTCCCCCGCAAACTCAAGATGTTATGAAAGAGAACCGCTGGAGTTGAACACTAATTATGGAAATGAGCAGTTTGATCTTCAGGTGTATAGCATGATCAGTAGATGCAGTGGTTGCCATGCTCAGATTGCTTGATCAATACTAATTGTAGAAATGAGCAGTTGAATCTTTAAGTGTATAGCATGACCAGTAGATGCAGTGGTTGCCATACTCAGACTGCTTGATCAACAAACACAGAACTCACTTAGATTGCTTGATCAACAAGCACAGAACTCGGATTGCTTAATCAACAGTAATTATGGAAATGAGTAGTTGGATCTTTAGGTGTATAGCATGACCAGTAGATGCAACGGTTGTCATGCTCAGATTGCTTGATCAACAAGCATAGAATACAACGATATATCAACAACCCTCAGGAGCAGACGACCTCAGGAACTAAGGGCCATATCATAGTAGTCTCGATCAATCAGATAACAAATTTCAGACAAAGTAGACAGCTGAAAGAACAAAATGACACTTGAAAGAACCAATGTGGATCTGAGACGGATTCAACAGCTCACAGAATAGAACAGACATGACCAAGTAACATAACAAGCAAACTCGATCATACAACAAATTTTTAGAGTTTTTTTTTTTTTTTAAGTTTGAGATTCAGATGGTCAAAGAACATGATCAATTAATAGAGTAACATACTCGATCTTACAAACAAGAAGAGACAAAACAAAGACAAAATCAAAAGAATGCATGATTTTTTTTTGGGCTGGTTTTTCAGAAGGGTTTCAAAGGTTCAATGACAATATTAGATCATAGTGGTTTAGACAGATTGGGACTCTGAGAGCAAGATCCAGAGGCAAAAATAAACAGGGGGGTGGTTTTTCAGATGGGGCAGATCGACCATTTTCAGATGCCCATTTTTCAGAGGTGGTTTTAGAGGAAGATTTCATATGAGATGGGAGTAGTTTGAACAAAATCGGAGGTTCACAGAGAGGCTGCATGCGCTAAGCTCATAGAGGGATGTCTCCCAGACCATAGAAAGAGAAACCTAATGGGCAATGGCCAATGGCCAACTCACAACACACAACAACGACAAGATCATAGAATGTGGTTGCTAACTTGGGGGCTTCTAATATAAATCATCGCTTGGAGGAGAACTTAATTGATGGACTCTTTATGAACTTTCAAGAGCAAACGATGCATTGTTG